CCCCCCCGAGGAGCTGGTGGAGATAGCTGGGGAGAGGGAGGTCTGGGTGCCTCTACTAAAGCTGCTGCCCCCGCGACCTGAACCCCGGACAAGCGGCAGATGATGGATGGACACCTTGTATTAGGTGTACATTTATGAGCCTTTGGGTTTTTTATTTTAGTGACGACGTACCATCTGCAACACGTGTCACAATACTTGACTGAATCATACAAAGTATAAAAACCGCCGTCTGGCTGTTGCTTTGAGATTTTGTGCTGCTCAAAGCAATACTGCAAGCGACAGAAAGAGCCACAGTCCTCACAATGGATGTGCGTTGTGGTGTGCTTATGGCACTCGGAACTGAGACATACGTTGCAGTAATACTTGCATTTGTGATCTGTTTTAACACTGAATGCAGCGTAACAATAATCACAGACGTATGATTCCTCAAAAAACGCAGTCAAGCTTTTTATGCCAAAAAAATGTTGATCTTGAAGATACAGAAAGATTGTTTTATCACAAGGCTCGGGGTTTGTCTGAAATTTCTTTAAAATGTCAGACTTGTCACAGCAGTACCACACAACAATTTTGACCCCAAGCATTTGCTCAAACTCTGCTATGTTTGAGAATGACACCATGTCTGACTCAGTTAGACCTACTGCTTCCTGCAAATGCTTAGCTTCGATCTCAGCAACCTGATGTGGCATGTCGGGGTTTAACAGGCGGACTACACAGTAAGCAAAGCATAGATTATTGCCAGAGTTTTCAGAAACGATAAGACATCTGAGCTTCTTTTGCAGAATGTCAGACTTTAAAAGCTTTGTTAATTTCTGTCATTCGGCTGCCCCACCATTTCGATTATGTACAATTTGTACAACCAATTCCAGCGTATCATCGCTGAAAACCTCGGCATTGCTCTGTGAAAAGTTGTCTACCATCGATAGCAGATCATTTAGATCGATCTCGCCTCGAACATGTATAGCTGTGTTATTGGTTACTGACGCCCCCTGCAGTTCCACCCCAGCCCCCGCTAAAGCTTTCACTCTGTCGACCAAATTCTGGAATGTCTGTATCACAGCCCTGTAAACGTCTACTATATCATCATGCTGGATTCTATCAAAATGAAAACGCTGCCTTATTTCAGTGTTGTTAAACTGTGGTCTGCGTATCACATTAACATTTGCATCACCATTAGCTACACCCCCACCTTGTTCTTGTACCCCATTATCAACATCCATAATTTCTGGCTCCCCCGCCGCAGCTGCACCCACACCCCCGCCTTGTGGCGCCCCATTATCAACGTCTATAATTTCTGGTTCCACCTCTGCTGCCCCATCATCATTTAAATCATTTAATAAATTTTGTAAGATGGAGTTAAATTCACCCGGGTTCTCGCCATTCAACTCTGTTAGCATTTGATGCAGTTGAGAGTGCATGGCCACACCGTCATCTACATCAGGCATTTCAATATCTGTGTCCAGTCCGTTGTCGCACCTAACACCAGGCTCGGTCGCGTGCCCGTCCGCCATTTCCACACCCTCCCGAAACCGTACATCAAACAAAGAATATTGATTGGTAAACCAGATGACAAGTATACCCCACCAAGCTGGGGGCTTATTAAGGGGGCGAGCGCTAGGTCCACATTATCACTCACGTCAAGGAGCGAAAGAAGCGGACACTTCATTTTCTGATCTACGACATATCAACATTGGAAAATGGAACTCTCGAGGTAAGCTACATTTTCATTTAAATGTATTTTACAATTGCTGTTATAGATTTTTTCTGCTGTGAAAATATATTATTGTTATTTTGACCAAGAATTTTCCATGCTGTCAAGATCCTGGCAACACTGTGATACAGAGGATTGGAATAGCGGTAAGTTTTCGAACAAAGCTATGGATTTTACTGATTAAATGTGACAAAAGACTGAAAGTGATTTTGCTCACAGTTGCAGCTAACGACGACGACACTGAACTGCGTGAACTGCTATGCATGCCAACGGTTATTTTCAGAGATAATCGTGAAGGGCCCGGACCCCGGCAAGTTAGCCATAAACGGAAAAGAGCGGATAGTTTTAACGGTACGTTGGCCTATATCGCTTACCCAGTATCATTGGTTTTTCTGTATGAAATGCTTAACAGTGACTGTTCTTTAATAGACACAGCTGATGATGAATTGCTGGTCGCTGCGGCCGAAAAAATTGAAGCAGAGCTACAGTAGCAACAGAAAGCGTGCAGGACCAGCCGACTGGACAACTGGAATTTGAACCGTTGGACCAAGGAGGATCTGCGTGCGGTGTTCCAGCGCTGTGGTCGCAAGATACCGCCCCCTTAACAGCTTGGCAGCGGCCTGCTTTGATTTCCCGGCCTGTAGATGATTCCCGAGAGGAGCGTTTGAAGGCGCTCAAACTAGCATTCTTCCTTTTTCAGGATCAGATGTGTGATTTTTTGGCGGATCTGTCTGACCAGATCTAAAGAATAATCAGGGGACATGTCTGAACAGTTTTGATGGGGCTGGGGGGTCTAGAAGGATACATGTAAATGACGATGACGAAGCAACGATTAACCCTGATCTGCAACAGCTGATTGATGAAATGAATGACGGACCGCAGGGTGAGGTTAACCCCCTTTTGCTTGCCATGATAAATGAATTAAACTCACCAAATGACCATGTGCCTATAAAACATCGGCGCTGGTTTATGACATTACAACAAATGGATAATTGTCTTGTGAGCCGGTCTATCCCGAGCCAGGCGTCAACAGGTGCGTGGCCCCCCGCTGTTTCACTGACCCTGCTGTGAACCCCTTTAGCAAAAAAGGAACAGTAGACAGCCCCACCTAGCGGTATGTGCTGAGGCCGTACCACACCCATGCTTCTAAATTTATGTTAAAAACACATAGATTCATTCCCTAAAACTTATCATCTAGGCTGTTCACATACATTCTATTAAACATTGCATTAAAACAGCACGTTCATGTTAAAGAGAATTATTTCTAGTTTAAAACTAGTGGCAGGCCGTCTTTTAACCACCACCGCTTCTGGGGTAATGTCGTACGCTAATTTTAACAAGGATTACCAGCGTTATTGGTTGATTCTTTTGTCAAAATGTTTATGGCGCTTTTACTTTATTATTCACATTGGTTGAAAAGTGCTTCATTACTTTAAAAAACGTCACGTTTAAGGGGACTTATTTGAAATAGCGTTCACTCCGTTTGTTGTTACCATTTTGAAATGGTTGTCTTATGAATCATTATTCTTTGTTTGATGCATGGTTTCGTGTAAAGATCCGCGACTGTTTATGACTACACCATATGTCTAATAGCCTGGGAGCGGATGATTCTACCCCATGTTTAATGGCTTGTGAACAGATGATCAGTCTATCTCAAAGCCAATGCAAGGCGGGCATTGATTACAAATCGACTTTTATTTATTTAATTTAGAAATATATTATTTATACTATTTACAAATAAGTCAGATTAACAAATAGAGTTAATGCGCATTCTTTCAGGATGGTGGCGTGCTCACACAATTAAGGGCCATGGGCTTGCACTACACTAACAGGAAGACTATTCCAAACTCTAACTACACACTGTGTAAAGAAGTGCTTTCTCAAATCCAGTTTAAAATGCTCTCCCACTAATTTCCACCTATGGCCACAAGTTATAGCATTTAACTAATATTGAAGTAGCCTTTTGGCTGGACAACATCCAGACCTGTTAGAATCTTATATACCTGGCTCATGTCCCCCCTTATTCTCCTTTGACACCTTCAAGCTGAGAAGCGCATGTCTTTAGTGTCCATCCAGGCACTCCGTCTGGGCCAGCAGCTTTGCTAGTGTAACAGACTGTTCATGTTGGATAGGTGTCTTACTGTGAAGGCATGTTGTTATGGGATAGAGAAAGTGTAAGGAGAGGTTCCAGACTGAAAGCAGATCTAGACAGATGGACACCCCTAACCTTTAGTTTGTATGACCGGATAGAAATTATAAAGATGAATGTTTTACCGCGATTATTGTTTCTCTTTCAATCATTACCTGTAGAAATACCAAAAAAACAATTTAATGACTGGAATGAAATGATCTCGAGATTTATATGGAAAAATCAGAAACCTAGAGTAAGATTTAAAACGCTGCAATTACCAAAGGAAAAGGGAGGACTGTCTCTTCCCTGTTTGGAAGATTATTATAAAGCAGCACAATTAAAATATTTAGTTTGTTGGTGTATTAGCGGTTAAGATGCAAAATGGAAAGAATTAGAATTTCACCAGCTAGACATTCCTCTCCCTTCCTTATTGGGGGACAAAAATACTAAGATTATGTATTCCAATAAATGAAGTAACTGGACATTGGTCCCTCTTAACATTTGGTTTAAAGAATGTAAAACTCTTAAGCTGGAGAGCATGTCTGCTAAGATGGGTGGCATACGATAGAGACTTTAAACCTGCACAGACGGATGTGCGGTTTAAACAATGGATAGGGAACGGTATTACAGCATATTGTACAGTTTCTTCTGAGATTGGTTTAGAAAGCTTCCAACATCTCTCTGATATTTATAATTTATGTGAGACAAGATTTTTATAGATATTTACAGCTTAGGAATCACTTTAATAAAAATATTAAAAGTAAGGAAGGAATTGAATTGAGTCTCATTAAAGTTTTTGCTGAGGCATATAAAGGCGGTACTCACAAGAAATTGGTATCAAGAATATATTCAAATATACAATCCTCTAAGTCTCACTCTACCTTATACGTTAAAGAAAAATGGGAGAAGGAAGTGGACATAATTCTAATGGAAGAAGACTGGCTAAACATGTGTAAATCACAGCATGCTACCTCTAGCTCTGGTCGGTGGAGAGAATTCTCATGGAAAAACATGATTAGATTTTTTATTACTCCAAAAAGAAAACATTTACAGAATGGTAACCCAGAAACTGCTTTTTGCTGGAGACAATGTAACAACACAATGGCTGATTATTTTCATATATTTTGGAGCTGTCCAGCAATTCAATCCTACTGGTTAATGGTAATCACTGAAATTGAATCAATACTGGGTTTTGAGATTGATCATAGCTTTGGTACCATATATTTAGGAAACATACCAACTGAATTTCATTCTCAAGACAAGTACCTCCTCAGATTGTTATTGGTCGCTAGTAAGAAAGCTATAACTAAGAAATGGCTGAACGAGAACCCACCAACAAAAGAAGAGTGGATAGCGATTGTAAAGGATATGTTTGATATGGAGAAAATTACCTTTTCGTTAAGACTAAATATGGGTAAATTTTATATGAACTGGTCAAAATGGTTAATACACCTAAAAATAGATCATACATAGAAATGCTTTGTAGTGAATATGCTGTGGACTTTGACTGCATACCTCTTTCCTTTTATGTGTGTAGGGAGGGGGGCTATTGGGAGAGTAACCCACTACTATGAAAATGACTATATTCTGTAGGAAGGATACAAGAATGGGATGTCTCTGGTGACCTGTCGGTTCCTTTTTTTTTTGTTTTCTTTTTCCACTCTTTGTTTGTTTGTTGTATTTCTAAGTTACATTAAAAGAAATAAAATAAAAGTTTTTTTTAAAAAAAGGAGAGGTTCCAGGTTATGACGAGGGAGAGACGGAGTTTGTATGGCAATAAAAAGACCGCGACTTGAGTTGAACATTAACGGGTCTGTTCCTTCCGTTTATTATTTTCTTTATTACAGTAAAGTCAGGCGAACCCAAATAACTGGCTACATTGGTGGCAGCAGTGGGAGTCTGTCGTACATACGTTATATGCACGTCTATATGCATACTTTTTAGCTTAGCTGCATTAGTATAGCTAGCTGGCTGACCTGCTGCGGTGTTCCAAGGCGAAATAACAAATAAATGCAGACATGTGGTTAGGACCCTTTGAAATCAACAAGGAGGATGTTGGATATTCACTCGAATGGCAAAGATATAAGAGAGGACCTGCCGGCTCCATTTGCTGGTGACGGGAGCCAAAGTTTTCTCAGTTGGGTGAGATAGCTGCAGATTGCCGTGAGCACAATGGTGAGACTGTGATGCAGACCAAGTGATGATCCTTCCCACCCGCCTGAGTGGTGCAGTCTTTTTGTTGTGGGATAGCTTTCCAGATGGAGTCAACTCGGACTATGCAGCAGTTAAAGAGAGATTTAGAGTGGCCTTTGGTCGGAGGAAGTTCATGGACCGCTTCAAGGCCAGCCTGTCAGCTCGGGTACGTGCTCCTGGAGAAAGTTTGGAGGTGTATGCTGCTGATGTGAGCCAATTGGTTATGGAGGCCTTCCTGGACTATGGGGCTGTGGCACTGAGGGAGGAAAAGTTTTGATGTTTCCTTGCCAGCCTAGATCCAGCTTTGAGAGCCAAGTGCCTGGAGCAGGGTGCAACTGATCTGGAGGAGGCATTGATTATCACTGAGTGGTGTGAGAAGCTCTGCACAGGGAATATGGAGGTGCCAGTGCTGGGGCCCTCCCAGCTGTGGACGGTATGTCTGTACAGTCAGTGTCAGTGACTGATACCCTACAGAGAGCTGTGGATAAATTAACAGAAGAGATGTATTACATGAGGATGGAGATGAAGGAGATGCGGGAGGAAAATCAAAGACCGAAGGCCCGGGACTCCGACAGGGGAGAGCAGAGATTCAGTTCTGCACGTGTGATGCTACGGGCGGTCATTCCCCGAATCTGGAGTAACCTTACCCTCGAAGGGGCTGCTGGACACGTAGCCAAGGTCGGGATCCAGGGGTTGGCCCCTCACTGAGGTCCCCGGGGTACTGGAGCCCCAGCCCTGATTGGCGAGACAGCCGGCCGAGGAAGCAGCGGAGGCGTGGTGTGCGTTTCCTGTTGCAGCAACTGGAAGGGAACGGTAACCATCAGGGAAACAAACAGTAGCTGATGCTGAGGCCCAGACACCGGCTTCTTCCCCTGAGGGCCGCCTAGAGGATTACCTTTCTGTGGACACTTTGTACATGGACAGTGTGGACTGCCCCACGTCTTATGTGAGGGGGGAGGTGCAAGGCACCGAAGTCTCTATGTTAGTGACTCAGGGGCTTCGGTGTCTCTGATCAGTGAACACTTTTGTTTGTCGGCCTCTGCACTGTGGAGCTGGCCTCTGAAAAAGAACTATGTTGATTCTCATGCAGACAAATATTGGACACCTTGGGCACAATTTCAGTGACCTTCCGCCTAGGTCCCTCTTCCTGGCAACATACATTTTATGTGCTTAGGGGATCAACTTGGACTAGACTTTTTAACAAAAAATCATGCCTTGCTGGATTTGGAGCGGGGGGTGTTACAGTTATGGGACATTTGTGTGCCCTTGCTCCGGGGTGCCGAATTGATTCCTGCATGCTGCAATGTATCCCTAGCTGATACTGCAACTGTTTCTCCCCTGAGTGAGGTTCTGGTACCAGTGGTTGTGCTGGCACCTACTGGCATGGACTTGTCAGCTCTCAGTTTTGAGGGATATTTGGAGCCTAATATCCCTGAGACAACGGGGCTGGTGGTGGCTCACACAGTCACTAGTGTCAAGGACGGTGCTTCAGTTTCTCGGATCCTCAATCGTACTGGACAAGCTGTTGAACTTAAGCGGGGGTTGCACCTGATTGAGTTCTACCTGGTAGAGGAGTGTGGTGTGATACCAGTTACCCAACCTCCTGTGGCCGATTTGAACCAGGGGCCACCTGCTGCATCCCCTGTCACCCAAAGGGCGCTTTTCCACCGCACAAAGTACGGTACTTTCGGTACGGTACCTTCGCTTTTCCATTGACTTCCGGTCGAGTACCAGTACCGAAATTTCGAGTACCAAAAGTGCCAAACCAGTTGGGGTACTTCTTTGGTACTTCTGTACTTTGGGGTGGGACTTGCAAACGTATTTGCTGTCGATTGGTTATGCAAATAGCCTGCCGCTGAAACACAAAATACAACCGCCATCTTTTGAAATACACAGCGAGAAACAAAATAAAAAGCAGTAGAAACAAAAATATAAAAAAGTAAAAT